AACATACATTAGAGACACGGTTCTGCCAATTTCACTGCTTTTCGAGCAGAATCGTCCACCTTTTCGAGCACTATCCGCCAATGCCTACCAGGGACCGTCCCTTGAGGCCATCCATGCTCTGAGGCTCTGACCACTGAGAGTATGGTTTGAAGCTTCGTCACACGAAGGCGATGGTCATAAAGCACAGTTTAGGCTCAGTGCGTCGAACGTGAATTATTTTATTCTTATGTCGTGCATCTACATTATATTGTCAAGGACCAGATGCTATATCCTGCAAGGCAGGGCAAGAGTATAATTCTCGATACACAGCATGACTACAGTATTGTGAAGTCGAAATCGGAACAATAGGATACTGATGCCAATCTACCTGTAGCATAGTTGAATCCGATTTCTCTTCAACCTAGGGCAGAACATCAGATTATTAGAGACATAATTATTATTTATGTGCTCCGGTACATCTGCAGTCATGATCAATGACATCCGATCGTGTGAGTCAAGATCAGTGATGTTTGCGCCCGGAACCAGATCACACCTCAGGGTTCGCAAGTCTATGGTTACAAAGCTCTTGCGCGTGTACTTGCAATAGATCACACGGACTGAGGCTGCGTTTACACGACAACGATTGAAAACGATTTGCGTTTACACGACAACGAAGTAGGACCTAAACGGAACGAAATCGTTGCGTTTACTACTATCGTTTACACGACAACGCCCGAAAACGATACCTAAACGGAACGAAATGGAAACGCACTTCAAAGTGTTTTGAAACGTTTTCAAAACGTTTTCAAAACGTTTTCGTTCTCGTGTAAACGGTGAAAACATTGAAAACGATTGTAAACGGAGCGCGGTCATGGCAACCATATATTTCGCGGGAAATACCTGACCTTTGCGACCACCAGCGCGTACCAACTCCAACTAACGTGTTACTTCCCGCCCTTGCGCCAAGCCAGCACGTACTAACTCCAGCCTGCTCGCCCGTTTTCCGTTTTCGTGTGAACGGTTCAAAAGGATTTGCCGTTCTCGTGTAAACGGTTTGAAAACGATTCGAGGCCAGCCCGTTTTCGTTCCGTTTCGTTCCGTTTCGTTTCGTTTCGTCTCCGTATAAACGCAGCCTGAACTAAGGAGATGTGCGATCCTGGTTCAGGTCGTCGTCCAAGGCGCGATTAGCTTGAGTTGGCCTCGGGTGCGAGTTGCCTCGCATGGTCATGGGGTAAATAGAGTGCACGGTTCGTATAGACCCTACCTCACACCTTACCCCCAGCGGATAAGGGCTTGTCGGCCAAGAGCGTCTACACCAGTACCACTCACCAAGCAGAAACAACCTTTTCTGCTACATTCTACAACTACTTGTACGACACTCGACATACAGCTACACAAGTCTACAGTGGCAGTCCAACGCGTCCATCTCATCTGAGACTGCTAGCGAGGCGCAACATCAAAGCTTGGTGCCAAATCCATTCCTTCGGAGAAACTACAGTTTTGCACTGTAGAAGGCAGAGCAGACGACTAACTTCCTAGTTCATTTGAAGGGTAGTTGTGTGGCGAGCGTTTTTCTTCGTTCGGTGCTGGCTGGAAAGTATGACCGGTAGTTAGTAGTCTCAGTAACGACTTTCACCAGTTGTATGTAGTGTAGACTACATCGCTGGGCGACGGCACGTTGATCTACAATTATACTAGTAGTGTAGTACAAAGAAATTATTATTTGAGCCCCAGATTCAGAAGCCATGAGCAGTGCAGATGCTTTGAGAAGAAATGGATCATACCGGTAAGCATTGATGAAAATAAAGTGAGGATATCTCGCACCACTTGTAAAAGTTATGTGCTTGTCTAAGCTTGTTGTACTGCACTTGCTGGGCCCACAGAGCAAGCCCAGATAGATTCTGCTCCTGTCGCCTCGATATGTTGTCACGAAATGTTTCTGCGAAATCTTAGATATCTTGCTGAGCCTAGCACTGGAAACCCGATATTTTGCTCTATTTTGCTCCGGAAACACGGGTTATGACATATCCACTCCCCATACAACGGTTCATAAAGATCGCATGTTCGGTTTCTCAACACGGGGTTTCACACACATGTCCCTGGGTTCTTCCAAAATCATGTCGATCGACAGTGAATCCCAGTGATATTCCGCTGACCTGATCCGTTCTGTCGTGCACCATATCATCAAGAGTATAATTATAACCCCCCAGAGTGTGCAACACCTGATCCAACTCTGCACAGGGTCTTGGTCGAGCGTAATCGGATCTTCTGATGTCATGCTTACACTCCAGACCAGCGCAAGGCCGGTCTCGAGGTAGGGCACCATTGTTTTTGATCCTAGAATACCCGCGACTCCCCGGGTTCCCCTCAGATGTGTACGGTATTATGACGCAAAGATCCGAATCCGCTCGACCAAGACCCTATGCAGAGCTGGATCAGGCGTTGCACACTCTGGGGGGTTATGTACTCTTGAGATCATGCTGAACGGGAAAAAACAAGGAAATCTTCGTATCACACAGGTATCGATTTTATCCAAAATCTTGATACTTTGCTCCGAATTTGCAGGCCATTTTCACTTTGTCAATTCTGCTAAAGATCTGCCGGTAGAATCTGTCTAGGGCTACGACAGATTACCCACGTACTGAAAAGTGCCATGCAGAGCTAGTTGACAGCGGCCCAATGGGTCATTAGGCAAAGTTGAGAAAAAAGAAATAATCTTCAATTTCGATCCCGAGTTTCGCGTTCACATACCATCATCAGAGGCATCCGGCTACCTGGAGTGACTGCGAAACTCGAAGTTGTACCGCACTAATGCACCCTATATTTTCTATGTACAGTACTATTTCTCTGTGCTGCGCTGATGAGTCCACAAGGGACGGAATAGTTCTGTCCGCAGATTGAGTACAATATAACATTTACAAGTATATTATGGATTCGAATAGAGAGCCAAGGATAAATTCATAGAAAAGTAAAAAGGACCAAGGAAGTACAAGTTATGCTAAATGTCCACTAACACCACCAGTCACTTAACAATCAGCCCATGTGATAACACTGTACGACACTGACCAACGGTACTGACGTTCTACAACCAACTGGCTACCAGCTCTAGCACATCTTGGATGTGCACTCCAACAGCCTTCCAACTTGGTTCCTGTTATCGCATGAGCTGATTGTTTAGTGACTGATGGTGTTAGTGGAGATAATCCAGGACATTATAGCGTAACTTTTAGTTCCTTGATCCTTTTTTTCTTTTCTACAAGTATAATAATACTTGTAAATGTACAGCCGTGCTGCGACCCACAGTTAATTGGGAACTCGTGGCCTGGCACGAGGGTAACATGGATGCAGCTAATGGGATTTCGGTCTTTGACCACTTGGTGGTGGGTCTGATCTACTCACCTCCCACCGTTTAGGCGCTGCATCTGCGCCTTTGATCCTAGAGGGTGGTGGCGTTCCCACGGCGGATGCGGAAAACTCGGCTTCCAGCCGAGTCTCACGCGAACCGTGGAATTTATTTTATTTTAAATGTACATTAGAGTCTGTTGTGGCCAGTACTTCCAAACTGTAAACACAAGGCACATCTCAACGAAAGACAAATCTTCATTCAGGCCTCATGTCTGGTCTCCCGAATTTTCAATCCAGACCTAACCTTGTCTATAAGAATACGTTAATGTGCGATCTGTAGACCCAATACTCTACTTAGGAGACATGTTTCCTCCCTTGGGTGCGAGCAATGGAAAGGCTTACATTCATATGTGTCGGTCTGATTGCACCGTTTGTGCAGAGAGCTAGTGGTGTGGCTCCCAGTTACAACATCCTGTCCCTAATTCATATTCTTTCGACTGCAACAGAAGTCTATTATACCACTTGTTTCTCAGTGTGGCTGTATCGGAAGTGAACAACTTCTACATTGTACTTTAACAGCCTTGTTTGGGACTCAATCCAGCCAATCCTAGATAAAGATGGCACTTTTGCCCTGCCGCAATGCTATCATCAAGACTGGTTGGTGTGCATGTCTGCTTCATGGGTGGTGGGTAGACCTGCTACAGAGAGCATTGATGCTACCTGTGAACATTTATGGATTCTATGTTTATGGTACTATTAAATTTTGATATTGCTCGCTCCATGTCGCACTGCCCAAGTAAGTAAGTGTGAGAATGGTCCAAAGCACATGAATATCGTTGCCGGCTCTCCTAACTTAAAACTGGGCTCTGTGTCGCTCAAGACTTTATGTGTGGACCCTGCTTTGTTGCCAGGGCAACTATTAACATGGTCACCCCTTCTCTTCGGTGCAATCATTAGAGCAGTCAAGGCAAGTCTCCACTTCACTCATGTTACCGATGTCTGCTGCTGTTTCTACAGCTGCTGCACTTCTTGCCATTGACACTAAAGCATGGACATGCTGCATATCCTTTCAGGTAGGAATTGTGTCATAAGGATTGTTGAATTCTTTATTCTCACGATGGCACCATTGCCAATAAGAGATATGTTTATGAGAAGGTGAGATGCTGTGGGTGGGGCTGTGGGTTATGCAGTTGGAAAGTGATTTACATCACTTTGAATTTTACAAGTATGGGAGAGGGTGCACTGCAGGAGCAGATCGAGTTAATCAGCAGTGAACAGATTTCTTGTCTGAAAGCAGGTCGGGAGGAGACATCACGAATGCTAGCAGGGAGGGCATTGTAGTATTCTAGGGACTTGTACTGTGGGGAGTCTTTACAGTGGTCGGTTCTGGTGGGTGGGAGGTGCCAAGTGCGTGCGTGTCGAAGGCTATACTGGGCCGTAACCCTAAGTTGAGTGGGGTGTTGAGCATGCGTATGTGTTGTGGGGCATATCGGGATTTTATGGAGTGTGCAAGAAGGGTAAGCTTCACTTTGCGGCAAGAAAACATTGTCGTCCATTTGAGCCGATGGAGCAGTGTTGAATGATTCAGAGGAGTGTAGAGGGGGAGACGGAGGCAGATTCTGGCCGCCTTGCGCTGGATTCGCTCAAGATGGTCAAGGGCTGCCATTGAGAGTGGGGTGACAGCAATGCATGCATATTCAATGATAGGCAGGATATTATGTTTTGTAAATGAGAGGGAGAGAGTGATTTAGTGTGTAGAGTTGATTTGAGCCAAAAGAGAATATTGAAAGATTTTACGGCTTGATGTTTGTAAGATTGTGTTGTAATGCGTTAGACTGGAAATTTGTTGTCACAAGATATGACCAATACCTATGATTAGTTGGACATACATGCTCATATCGTTACTGATATGAATTACACAGAAGAGAAGCTAGTATCAAACCTAGATTTCCTCTTCGGAAAAGACCACCGTGTATGCATAGAAAACAACAATGATAGGCCAGCATTCGTAAAGATCATGAACATGGCAAGTTATGGGAACGTATGGTAGCTTTTTTCCTGAGTTTCAGCCGAGGACAGGAAGGTATTGCTACCGGAAAAAAGTATATCGTGGGCAATGGCATAGGCCAACATGTATAGTGACCAAGAAAATGCAGAGCACAAAGAAAAAAATGGTACCAGGCCACATTGAAGATGGAGAGTAAGTTTGATAAAAACGGGGATTGCTCGTCTTTGGATATTTCTTGTAAGAGAAGGGAAGGCAATTATCATGGAGCAATATTTGTACAAGTAAACATCATATAATTGCCAAGGAAACGGATCAAACATAACTGGTTCACAACACATGTAAATGGGTACTGAATGGCAAGCTAATGCAAGTGGTCAGGTCTTGAAGGTTAGCAGAGCGCACAGGTACATGCATAGACTCTGTTCCTGTACTTAACTCTTCCTGATCGCAGCCTCACGGTAACGGGTACATTGACTCACCAGTCGGTGGTTGGTCGCTATGTGGCCGAAGCCGTGCGCGAGCAGAATTAGTATGCTTGCCAATTGCTTCTCCCTCTGCTTAACTGACATTTCAAAATGCGTATATCCCCGGCATGGGGTACTGTCTTAGTAAAGACTATCAGGGCAATGGAAATAAGTGCAAACGATTATTGAATAATACAAGGAACTAACTACATCACAATGAACTGTGTCCTCACATGACAGAATCTGCCACGGTATCATGATCCTCTCCTGCAGTATTGATAGATCGGCGTTGGCTTGAAGAGGTTGCTGTATTGATAGATCGGCGTTGGCTTGAAGGGGTTGCTGAAACATTGATATACAGTGGTGTCATCTTTTCCATTAGCTCTGTCACTTCATTACTTTCATCACCGGGCATCTCCTCGTGCATGCCATCATCTTCAGCAACTTCGCAGGCTCCTTTCTTCTCCATGACTGTCCCGCTGTGGCTTGGTGGGATGTCCGACACGTCAGCATAAAGTGGCTCTCTCGTTTCCACCATGCCCGTCGTTTCATATCTTGCGTCGCCAGTCTGGCTTGGATCTTCGTAGCACGAGGCTTTCCATTCACGGTATGCTTCGGTGTTGACGAGTATCTTGTCATCATCTGCCTCCTGCTCACATTTATCAATGAGTGCTGTCTCACTTTGTTCATTCATAAGGAATGTTGGGGTTGTTGGCGGAGGCGACTCGTGGCCCTTGGTTTTGCGCTTCACTTTCCCGGTGCGTTTTCGTATACAGATGAGCAGGATGCTCAACAGGATCACCACAATGAAGGCGATCATGAAATCTGCGCCAGTAGTAACTCCATGTCCTGGCTCTTCATCTGAAGAAAGAGCGAAGATAAGCAAGAGACCCACCACCAAAAACTTAATGAATTCAGGGGAGGTGGAAGGTATTTTAGCGTGGTATGGTCAGGCATCTGAAGTAGAATTTACTCCTGTTGGGGGGGGGGGGGAGGGGTAAGACGAACATTTTGGCAATTTAGAGCCCAAATCAGTGTATTTATTGCGTCACGGAGTACCTCGAGCAAAAAGTGGTACGGTCAATACTGTAGTGCCCGTAGCGTGTCCGACGCCCTTGCGAGTCATGGAGCCAATTTAGGATACACCCTCAAATTGAACTACTGGTATCAAGTTTCTGCAGCTAACTCACTTGTTCTACCTCTACCAATAGACTGAGGACTGGTGTTGTGAGTAATACTGCAACCTATGGCTGTCCTTGCTTACCTCAAGTAAAGCCTGCTTCGAGTTTTGGTGGTGACGGTCAATTTTTCGTCAGACTCCCCACCCTTTTCAATACTCTCAACCGATGAATAACGATCTGCTTGTGTGTGCATTTAAAAGCCACTCCATTTGTAGGATCCACTACTTTACTGGCAATGGGAGGATTTTTGTTCTATATTTGGGGGGGGGGGCAGCACATCTTGTATGGGCCAAACTCAGCAAATCGTTTTGCGATGTACACGAGAAATTTCAAAACTAAAAGAGTTATAAAAGAGCGATCAGTGACGGCTGTACTGTATACATGGTGAGAAAGGTCAAGTCTCAAGGGTGCGTGTCTACCGTGCATTGTGCAATCATATCCAGCTTTCTGTAGAACTCACCGTCAGGCTCTAGGGATATAGTGGTTACATTGCGGAAGTCACTTAGGTCAACATTACCAGGACTCATCCTGATCCCACCACTGTAGCGAATAAACGCTATCACCTCAAAGGCGTACGGCTGTCCAGCGGTGAGATTGTGGATTCGTCCTGTGGACACATCACTTCCCACATCCTATACGCAAACAGCAGGTCACCGGGAGAGAAGGTAACAAAGAAAAAAAGAGGACACGTTTTTTTCTAAAAAAAAAAACACTTTTTATTTTTAAACATGGAAAGGAAAAGGAAATATGGATACGAGTTAAGAGTAACTCTCCATCACTGTAATCAGATATTATTATACAGTCAGAAAGTGCAACAACTAGGCACAAAACTGACAGAGTACTGAGACATTCGACGTCCTGACACCTAGCTTCAACACATCTCCGTAGCGCTAACCGACAGCCTTCCAACTTGGAAGGTTCAAGGTTATGGAAAGACCAAAACACAGCACAAATAGTAACAGAAAGTTGGGTAACCAATGCTGGGTCTTCATAGCTGGCTAGGAGGCACATGTCGAACAGAGTGTCTGCAAAACAAGATGCATGTACAGTACTTGTCACAATTCATACTCCAGGAAAATCTGTAAGCCTGACCACCGTAGAAATTTCATGACAGGCAACTCAGCATAGTCTTAGCATAGTCTTAGCATAGTCTTAGCGATAGTCTACACTATACACTATATAGCTGATTTGCTGGTCTTGAATGACTTTAAAGTTCTCAGAAGGAAATTGAATGGAAATGTTGGTACTGTGCTTGGCAATCATGCGCTACACAGATACAATCATGTACACATTGTATACACATTATGACCTTTATCAACTCACAGGCACACACACACACACACACACGCACACACACACACACACACACACACACACACACACACACACACACACACACACACACACACGCGCGCGCACGGGCACACACGCACACGCACATTCACATACACATACACACACACACCTAATTCTCTGCAGAGAGGCATCCACTCAAGATTCATCCCATACCTCACTAATATTCAGCACAGTCTTCTCCGGCACATTTCGACGTCTTCTTCTCCTACTCTTCTGCTGCAACTGCTCATCCACAACTTCTTCGTAGAATGCAAACATCCTGAAGCCGCTTGGCTCTCCACCTGTTGAACTGGGCTTCCACGTCAGTTCTGCTGTATGCTGATCAACGAATTTGGCATCGATTAACTCCGGCTGTCCAGGATCTTAGAAAAAAGATGAAGCACAATGGTTGGACCCGCTTTTCTAAACATCTTTGTATAATTATAAGGATCCAGAGTGCTAATGAAGCTCTCGTACGGATTGGGAAGGGGGGGGATGCAGGGGCGTAGCCAGGAGAATGATCAAGTGGGGTGCCACGACTTTCCCCGCACACAATACATGCACCTTAAATGGTTTGATCCGCGATACAGTGGGGGGGGGGGGGGGGGGGAAGCAAAATCAGACCCGCATTTGACGCTGAAAATCAATCAGTGAATGGCAAACCCCCGACCAGGTAGTCGTAATGTTTGCTACTGCCTGCTTCCAACTTCTCTTCCTCGTGCTTTATAGTGCAGTACGGCATGCTTGATCAAACGTACCCCATATTTCCCACAAAAACCGCAAACTCCACTTCAACGTTACTTTCACTGTTCTGCTGCTGTACCAACACTTGAAACACGTGAAAGAATCTTCTTTGCTTTTCCACAACCTCCAATTCGAACACTCAACCGTCAGCCTACATGTCCATTATACAAAACATTGCGCGAGCAAACTGCTATGCCCGATGTGAGTTTTCCATGGACTGTGTTGCTACTTCTACCATGGCGTACAGTATTTGTAAGATTCTGCTTCTATCTTAAACAAACATGCGGAATTCGACACAAATCACGTGCTGTGTCTGCTGAGGTCTGACGTAAAGCTGCAGAACGGCAGGTATGAAGCGGAGTTGCCCTTGACTAGAAATTTCATTGGAAAAAGGCCAATCGTCAGACAACATAGTCAACTGCAGCAGTACACTACCTATTACTTCCTGGTCTGAACAACAAAGTTTGCTACAGTGTGCGATGTGCAGAGTTATAGATGTGATCAGCGGTCCGCGTATTACGGTCCCTCACGAACCAGGTGCAGACCACGATCGACATTTTTGAGGGGGTGCTTTGGCACCCAAAGCACCCCCCCCCCCCCGCCCCCTGCCTATGCCCCTGGGGTGCAATGTTTCACGTATTTTCGAAAATCTGCAGCTGGACCTACATGTACTGTGATACTTCAATCGATGTACATGTATCGTGCTGTCAGATCTTGGTGGTGGGTATTTTGAGACATGATTGTTGTTTCATGCACTTCAAATGTGTGGACCACAAGTCAATAAAGAATGACCGCCACAGAATAGCTTATAGGCGATTCGGACTATGGCCAAAATCATGTCTGAGCTCGAATTTCCGTGGAGATGCAGTCGTACTTCAAATGATACTGCACAATCTCTGATCAAACACGTCTTTGGCATAAAAACGTGGTCACAGTTGGCCATCGTCTGAATCGCCTATAAGTGGGGCAGCATCGCTGGCCATACCCCATAAGAAGACCTTGAGTCTTTGGGGACTGCCCTATTAAAATATGAATAAATAATAATAAGCGAGGGTCCCTGGTTCGAGTCCTGGTGGTGCAAGTCAAAAAATTTCACAGACATTTCCCGTTTGCATCTTTCTCTCAAACTAATGAACACAATAAAGAACTCGCAAGTTACATTTTCTCCCCTTGTTTTTATGCAGAGACATTTACTTATAACAGCCGAGTAGCATAGTTTGAAGTGACATATGCAGCGTGTGCAGATCGGATGGAGTAGAGGCAATATTGACAAAGTGGGTAAAATAGTTACTTACACAGCGCAGTTCCTTGTGAAAAGACAGGTTTGCTTGCTGGGCCTGCACCGATTCTTGTGCTTGCAACTAGAAGAAATCCGTAGCGTTTCTTTTCTACCAGTGAGTGAATCAAAGCGTTGCTTTGGTTACCGGAGACTGTGATGTTATTATAGTGTGATCGTTTTGTGAGGTTTGCATTCGCCTGGTCTTCCTGTGTCGAGTCCAATTGAGCATAGAGGATTGTGTAGCTAGTGATTATACCCCGAGTGTCTCTCAGTGGTGTCCAGGAGATGTTGGCCGCAATGCTGGTGGTGTTTGCTTCGAACACAACGCTCACATTTGTGACAGCAGCAGGAGCTGCGAACAAGGATAGAAAAACACCGGCTTCAACACGCCATAGTAAACCGAATTGGATGCCATCTGCCTAACATACATAGCTGCTGATGATTTCAATACCATCACAGTATGCAAGGAGCAGTGCAAGTGCTATAGTACAGATGACATAGTCTGCATAATGAGAACCTGATTTACGTACCGTATATCCCCGATTATAAGTCGCACTCAATTATAAGTCGCACCTCCATTTTCATTTTTTAGCCATATTGATTAGATATATTGACTTCATTAGTAAGTCATGCTTGATTGTAAGTCGCACCCCTTTTTTACCCTTGAAAGTTAGTGTACGAAGGTGCGACTTATATTCGGGGAAATACGGTACACATCCACAAGTTCTCAATGACAAGAAACTTGTACTGTCAGTGTACAGGCAATGGCATATCTGTCAGTGATCTTGGAATGGTCTTAAACTCTGATTGAGGATGGTGAGGGCCTTGTTTCTAGTCCAGGTTGAGAAGGCTCTTTTAATTAAACTGTGCAGCTAGCGACAATACAGACATTAGTAGCTTGTGACTATATACAGTACAAAGAGAAATTTGGTTGATGGAGCGTTAGGCAAACAACCAACTTGTCGACAACTACGGTTAGACCAAGAGAGGAGAGTTGTACTCTTTGTGAGACATTGTTCCTCACCCTGCAGTTAGGCGTTGCACGTCCCATTGTATTGCTAGGGGTGGTTGTAGCGTCAGAACCACTTTGAGGACCAAATGAGAATTCGCATAATATTTCGCGTAGTGCTTTTCGTACTCTTCCGTGTATATACTTTATTATTATATTGTGGTTTATTGCTAGATTTCATTATTGAGACGTATTTCCTTGACGAATGTCTCTAGAAAACTTGTTAGGAAGCTTTAATATCCATCTTTTATTTTTGTTCATTACTACGTCCAATGTCGGCTTCGCTGATTCTGCTGATTGCCGCAATAAAGTTATTGTCTCCTCGCCGCTTATTCATAATAATTATTATGGTATGCTAAGTACTTCCAGGCACACCCGTGTGCAGTATGAAGTCAGAAACAGTGGTGATTGCTGCATTTCTTTGAAACTTCAACACACATAAATCACATCAATACACTGACGCTGGTAGCGGCTGGGGAAAGGTGCTTCTGTTGGTGCTGTCCCAGTGGAAAAGGTTGATAATTGATTATGGTTGTGTCTGGGTAGTTGTGAATTGTAGTACATGTAGTGTGTGTAGTGTGAAGTCCGAAACAATGGTGATTGATGCATTTCTTACAGACTTCGGCACACGTGAATCACATCACATCACAAACTCACAGTACGTCTGTCGGTGCCGTCCCACGTGAAAGCATGATGATTGATCTGGTTGAGTATGGGTAGTTGTGAATTTGTACTAGTGTGTGCAGTGTGGCATGGCTAGCCATGTGTTTAGAGGGTTTTTGTTCCAGCAAGCGTGTGGATAGAGAAAAAGAGAGAGTACAAGAATATTTTTTTCTCGGCCGTATTGGTATTATAGTAAAGAAAAGAGGACCAAGAAACTACAAGTTACGCTTTATTGTCCACTAACACCACCAGTTACCACCAGTTCCGAGTCCATTATTATTATTATTTTATTATTATTTTTATTCTATTATGTCATAACTCGTAGCTTACAGGTAATTTCTCTTTACACATTACCATTGGCTCAACACCCGAGTTTTATTTTCTGTACTATATCAAATGTGAAATATGCATTGAGTATGAGTGACTTACTCGATTCATCTGTACGTTGTTGTACTTGGCTGCCAAATGGACCAGGTGCAGCCTCTGTCACAGCCCTCACAGACATGTTGTACACAGTGTAGATCTCAAGCTGGGTGATAGTCAGACTGGTCTCGTTGCTTGTCACATTGAATACCTGTGTGTAGTTTGCAGGGCTGACAATCATGATGTCATAGCGTACCAACACACCGTTTAGATCTTGCTGTGCGAGCTGTCGCCAGGCCAGCTGCAGAGATGTGCTGCTCAAGTAGAATGAGTTGGTCACGGTTGTTCCAATGCTTGGTGCTGTTCATATCAGAGACATCAAGAAGAAAATGAATCTGCAGCCCAATAATACCCAACTCTTCGCAAGGTGACTTGAAAATCTGAACTATTGTACTGTTGTGTCAGTCCACTGTTACGTTCGGCCTCACACGCCAGTATGACCACGTCTCCATGTGGTCTATGCGGTTTCAGATATGTTTCCAGGTGCGCATTCCGTTTTGAACTTTGAAAAATGGTGACTACAGAAAATGTTAAAAAAACCACTACAGTCAACTTGGCTAATAATGACTGGCATTGACTGCGGATATAACGACAGTTCTGGAATACCGGCAGAATATCCATGCGCAGAGGGAAAGTCCCATCAAACTGTAAACATATAATGAGACTGGGTATAAGGATACATCGCGAATAAGGACACTTTTCTGATGCCCCGCCGTGTGTCGTTATTCGCAAAGTTGATTGTATACGAAAATGCATGGGCTCCAAATTTTTAGAGAACACCGATGGTCTTCCATCGCCTGAAGAGTGGTGAATATAAGTCGCAACAATGCCATTCAGGTGATTGCAAGTGCCATAACAAGCGAGCAGTCTTCCAGTCAGTTTGTATTAATACAACCTCTCCAGCTTAGGTTCACTGAGTTCATTACTTTGGAGTCAAAAGTCAAATCACTGTAACCGTGCATTTGTTAGAATGATATTGGCTCACTGCTGTCTAAATTAACCAAGGCTAATGTATGGGCAGTTGGCATCTGACAGAGATGTCTGGCAGTCGCACTGTGCATCTACTGCTTACACAGCTGCATAATGCCTTTTATTCCCGTAGCTATGCAGAAGACGTTACTTCAGTAACGTCTGGCGCTAGCCAGGGTCCACACAGCTTTAATTTGGTGTTTGTTTGTTTGTGTCACGCCTGGCGCTATCCCGTATCTGTCCCGTACAGTACCGTACCATCAAACACAGCTAGCTGGCCACATGCAGCTGGCCGCAATATTCAAATAGGGCTTTCAAACGCAAGATCATAACGTGAAGCAACTTGGAAGAATGAGTATGAATGCGAAGTGTATGAGGGAATGCATGTAGGGCGATAGTGCGGGTTCGAATCCCAGGTTATGCCTGAAAAAAAGGAGAATTGAAAAATTTATAAAATCCCTATCCTTGTTTTGCCTATGTCATCAATGCGGTAGACAGTGTCGTATTACCTCGACCGTACTTGTCCCGTACCTGTCCCGTACCGTACCGGACCATCAAAGACGGCTGGCCACAATGCATATTCAAATAGGGCTTTCAAATGAAAGATCATAACGTGAAGCAACTTGGAAGAATTAGTATGTATGTATGCGAAGTGTATCGGGGGATGCATGCAGGGCGATATTGCGGGTTTGAATCCCAGGTTATGTCTTAAAAAAAGTAGAAATTTATAAGAATTTATAACATCCCTATGCTTTTTTTGGTCTAGGTCATCAAGGCAAAAAACGTAGCGTAGGGCCCTGAGCTCCCAAGCTCTCTCGTTATTATTATTTTTAAATTTTAGCAATAGGGAGGTTTCGCTCTACGTAATTACATATGAAAATCCGTATGTCGTACGCGCCGGGGAGCGAGGGCAACTTTCATACGTAAATCTCTCTACGGATTTCCGTAGGAAAGCTCTTTCCTACGTTGGGTCCTCCGTAGGACTTTTTGAAATATTTTTTCGCATTTTCCGCATTTGTCCATGGCAACATTCAAGCCGCGCGAAACACAAGGTTCACACACCGTACACCACGTGCAAAATATAATGGAAAACGCGGTTTCGGTTCACGGTGCATGCGGTGGGCGCATGCAGCCAACGCGTCTCCAAAGCAACAACGCATGTTTAGCAGTTGTGGAGAAATCACGTAGAACGAAACCCAACAGCTCTGATTTTTACGTATGAAAATTCCGTGCAGTTCATACGTTATTTTCATACCTAATTCCGTAGAGCGAAACCTCCCTAATGAAGCGAAGTGTATGAGGGAATGCATGTAGGGCGACAGTGCGGGTTCGAATCCCAGGTTATGCCTGAAAAAAGGAGAATTGAAAAATTTATAACATCCCTATCCTTTTTTTGCCTATGTCATCAATGCGGTAGACGGTGTCGTATTACCTCGACCGTACCTGTCCCGTACCTGTCCCGTACCGTACCGGACCATCAAAGACGGCTGGCCACAATGCATATTCAAATAGGGCTTTCAAATGAAAGATCATAACGTGAAGCAACTTGGAAGAATTAGTATGTATGTATGCGAAGTGTATCGGGGGATGCATGCAGGGCGATAGTGCGGGTTCAAATCCCAGGTTATGTCTTAAAAAAAGTAGAAATTTATAAGAATTTATAACATCCCTATGCTTTTTTTGGTCTAGGTCATCAAAGCAAAAAACGTAGCGTAGGGCCCTGAGCTTCCAAGCTCTCTCGTTATTATTATTTTTAAATTTTAGCAATGAAAAATATCAAATGTGCACTCATAACCATGTGTAAACAATTAAAATGAAACAATTCCAGAACGTTTTCGTGTGACTATCATCAGTGGAACATCGTCACATAGTAAGAATCACTAAAACAACCAGTTATATAGCTAGAGTAATATGAAAAGAAGCGTGAGAATGCAGCACAGCTAGCGGTTATGCGTAGCGCGTGTAGTGTGAACCTTTGCAGTGTATCTGAGAATGGTAATAATAATAATAATAATAATAATAATCTCAGTGGTTAGAGCATCGCTGGCTACAAGCGAGGGTCCCTGGTTCGAGTCCTGGTGGTGACGGTCAATTTTTTCTTCAGACTTTTCCCGTTTGTCTCTTTCCCTCAAAACCAGTTAATATTTTATGACTTGGGGCTCCCCGCGTGCTAGTTTGTACGTGAAGTGTGTGGGTTACAGTGAGGGCTGCGTCCCACCCGCCTGTGTGGATTCACAGGAAGTGTGAGTTACGAAGTCTGAAGAAAACGTTGAACGGTCTCTGCTTGGATGACGACTACACCATAGCTCAGTGGTTAGAGCATCGCTGGCTACAAGCGAGGGTCCCTGGTTCGAGTCCTGGTGGTGACGGTCAATTTTTTCTTCAGACTTTTCCCGTTTGTCTCTTTCCCTCAAAACCAGTTAATATTTTATGACTTGGGGCTCCCCGCGTGCTAGTTTGTACGTGAAGTGTGTGGGTTACAGTGAGGGCTGCGTCCCACCCGCCTGTGTGGATTCACAGGAAGTGTGAGTTACGAAGTCTGAAGAAAACGTTGAACGGTCTCTGCTTGGATGACGACTACACCATAGCTCAGTGGTTAGAGCATCGCTGGCTACAAGCGAGGGTCCCTGGTTCGAGTCCTGGTGGTGACGGTCAATTTTTTCTTCAGACTTTTCCCGTTTGTCTCTTTCCCTCAAAACCAGTTAATAATAATAATAATAATAATAATAATGCTCTAACCACTGAGCTATGGGACCAGGCTGAACCTAGAAGGCGCTGACAAGTTTTTCACTCCAAAGGCAGCTCACAACACGTGCCACACATACTGATGGCACTTGGGTCGTTTTCCCTCCCCCAGGGGACCAACCACGGTCAGTTTCTGGAAACTACCAGAGGTGAAAGAAAGTGATTAAATTTGGAAAGGATTGGGAGAACTTCATATTCAAAGGATCAGTCGGGGAAGTGAACTGCCTGAAAAGAGAAAAAAACGCCAGACCCAACGCCAGATCCTTTGAATATGAAGTTCTCCCAATCCTTTCCAAATTTAATCACTTTCTTTCACCTCTGGTAGTTTCCAGAAACTGACCGTGGTTGGTCCCCTGGGGGAGGGAAAAAGACCCAAGTGCCATCAGTATGTGTGGCACGTGTTGTGAGCTGCCTTTGGAGTGAAAAACTTGTCAGCGCCTTCTAGGTTCAGCCTGGTCCCATAGCTCAGTGGTTAGAGCATTGCTCATGACAAGCAGGGTCCCAGGTTCGAGTCCTGGTGGGTCTGGCGTTTTTTTCTCTTTTCAGGCAGTTCACTTCCCCGACTGATCCTTTGAATATGAAGTTCTCCCAATCCTTTCCAAATAATAATAATAATAATAATTTTAATATTGCAATAAGTATGACGAGCTGAAGCGACATGTGGACTACTTTATTAACAATGTAAGCGATGGAGACGATGCAAGAAACAGCCTAAAAGGGTAAGGAAAAATACATGTAAGAAGAAAAAGGGCAATGGAAAAAAGATGATTCGAACAAGTTTTCGTACAACACTCTTCAGGAATCACCGTTGTACTAAAGAACAAAAGGAGAACAAAGGAAATAATATAGCAATCAAGGTAGGGTGACACGTAACAATGACAGCACTGGAATATCGAGGTGCGATTTCTCACAAAAGTGTGCAGAAAACAAGGGTATACAAGTAAGAACTAAGCGTGACAAGTGTGTATCAGCAACAAAAACAAAAAAGTGAGAACGAATGATAAAAATAACAATAAACAAGAAGGTGACAAAACACATTTAGGCACAAGAGGCAACAACGTTGCCACACTACACAACAGAACACTATTTGAACAATTTTAGGGTAATAACACTATCTTTCTGGACACACAAATTCGGCTTATGAATGCGCTGACAAACAGCTTCCAAAACTTGTAACTGCAAAAGATAACCATGACGAGCACGGCACAAAACAGAAAAACAGGAATCAGAATAAGTACGACAACAGTCAGTACTAGAAACCAAATGATTGTATACTGAAGACTTGTTATTACGAGACGGACGCACACAATCTCGACTCACGCGCACACCCTCACACTCACTCTCACTCTCACTCAGCTCACCTTCTCCCTCACTGTCCGAATCAGAACCTGCTCCGTCATCCACCGCGGTTTGACTCTCCTCCTCACTTGCATCGTCCTGCGTCTCACCTTCACCACCCACGCCAACCGTGAATGCCGTTGCCTTCACGTCAGTCGTCGTCCTTTCCGATTGTTTCCTTTGTATTTTTACCGTGAATTCATAGGTCCGGTTGTAATCTGCTGTAGATCTCCGTGGTCTGTCATTTG